CTAAAGTTTCCTGGTTCTTCAAAACTAAAGGTTTGAGGTTCATCAAGGTAATAGTCGAAGGTGTTTTGGTATTGGAACAGTAAAGTAGGGAGTTGGAGGAGAGAAGTATGTCGTTGAAGAAGTGTGATGACTATGTCTCGGGGGTTGGAAAGTGCAGTTGTATAGCGACAACTAAAAATAATATCCCAGATTGCTATACGAGTATTAGTATGATTAGTAGTACTGGTAAGTATAGCAAAAACGTCTTGAGTTCTTCGAGAATAAAGTAAGGCTGAGAAGCGAAGGTTATAAAAGGTCCAAAATCTTCCAAAAGGTGTATGAGGACTTGTTCGACAAGGATAATAGCAATCAGTGCAAGAGAGGTCTGGGTAGCCTAATTGTAATATGTCTAAAGCTAAATGTCCTAAGTCTAAATGTGCTCACTGATAGTTACGAATATATTCTCGATGTAACTCGTCAGCAGTTTGTATCATATGCTAAGAAGAGAGTTGCTAATATAGCAATTGTTTAAGGTCTACTAAGAAGAGGAAAACGGCTTGCATGCTGGAGACAGATGTCCAGAGATTTCAACAAAAATACGGCTCATGTGCTGAAGACAGATGTTCAAAAAATTCAAAAATACGGCTCGCGTGCTGGAGACAGATATCCAGAAATTCAAAAAAAATACGGCTCGCATGCTGGAGACAGATGTCCAGAAATTACTGAAGAAGAGAGGTAGAGGAGAGGTGCAGAGGGATTTAATTATATTTCTGCCAGAAGGCACCAAATGTTACAGTACCATGGCCTTCTTAACAGCAGTACTATAACAATGACATGACTATAGAGATCCTTTATAGGTTTATAGTGGTGTCCAAGAGATAAGTATAATTCCTTAGTCTGTAAGAAACTATACCCTTCTCTCTAAGGCAGTTCAGTAAAACAAGAGATGATAATTTATATTTTAAACAAAGATAACAAGCCTTGACTGTAAGAATTATTTTAGAGGAGAAATGTTATATACTTTTATTAATAAAAATAAAGAAGCTATCTGTTAGACTTCTATATCTAATGAATCCTTTTTACAAGAGGAATACTAAGTTAAAGGTAGAGGGGAAGTGGTCTATATCTACTGTTACTTGGAGAATTTAGCAGAATTTATATATCTTTGGATTTAAGCGACAAAGTGACAAAACGACTAAGTGACTAAGCGACTAAGTATTTAAGTGACTAAGTGACTAAGTGACTAAGCGACTAAGTGGCATAGTAATGCACAGTAATTAGCACAGTAACTAGTACAGTAATGCACAGTAATCGGCACAGTAACTGGCACAGTAATGCACAGTAATTGGCACAGTAATTGGCACAGTAATGCACAGTAACTAAGTATTACATCATGTATAACAATATAAAATAATATACTAATAATAATAATTAAATAATAACTAAAAATAACTAATAATAAAATAAAATAAAATAATCGTTCTATAACAATATGTCTGTTGCCTCTTCTAATTAAAAATCTCAAATACAATAGAATTAGAAATTAAAATAGTTAAAACAGAAAGAATAAATAATAAGTGTTTAACTGCTGTTAGGTAAATAAGTTCTAGGTAATTGACATTAACTTGCAAAATTTTATTAAAAATTATGTTTTGTCTAACCTTTAATTTAACTTTAATTAAAATTTTTATTTTTTGTACAACAAAAATTGTTTTGCATATATATTATATCAAGATTGTAATTACATAAAGTAATATTATGATGTTATGACACTATAATTGTCTGAAGTATAGCAAGGATGTTTATACTTCTACACTTCTATTTCATTTCATGCAATGTCCGTTAAGGAACCAATCAAAATTTTAGATTAGGTAACACAACAGATTTTTGCTTATTTTATGCTTCGGACTCATAACGGGTCCCGTTTTCCTAGTAATATTCCCTTTTTAAAATAATTTTACTCTATTTTCATGCAATGTCCGTTAGCAATATCCAATCAAAGTTTCAAATTTGGTTACACTACATATATCTACATATTTACAAAAAAACCATTCTACAATTGACTAAGTAATAAAAAAATTGGCTGCTCTAGCAAGATACGTCAACCAATTGCTTCGGACATTTATCAGCTTAGTTTAGATTTATTGATAATAAAAAATATATAATTATTATACTCAAAATTATAATATTTAACTTTTAAAATAGGTAATTTTCAAAATCAAATATTAGATCAATAATTATAATAATAATATAATCTTTAAAATTGTATTAGATAGAGAATCTAATATAATCTTTAAAATTGTATTAAATAGAGAATCTTATAAGCTTTCTGACGAATATATATTTGTTTAATTTAGATAGATATTTAATTTGTTAAAAGCCTTTAAAAAGTAGGGGAAATTTTTGTCACCTCTTGTTATGTATACTGACTTGTGAACAACTTTGATTGATCGAAATACTTAAACCATTGGGTAAATAAATAGATATATCTACTCTTAACATTTTTATTTAAATAAATTATAACAAATTATATACAATATAATATTACAAAAAAACATGGTTAAGAAAGAAAAAATTGAAAATGTTTCAAGCTTGATTAGTCTCAAGTTTGGCTAGGCGTTTAAACATCTTAAAGGGTGTACTATTTTTAGTAGCCGGTTTAATATCATCAGAGATTTTAGCAGCCGGTTTAATATCTTCAGAGATTTCAGCAGCCGGTTTAATATCTTCAGAGATTTTTTCAGAAATTATCGAGCTTTCATTAGTCAACCGTTGCCTTAAAATCGAATATAAAGTTCTAGTATCTTTAGCAAATGATCTTATGCCTTCTGCTAATTTTTCAGTTGCCATGGCATTTTCATTAAAATCCCATTTAAAAGAATTTTTGTCGTAAGTGACTTTCGATACTAAATTATGATGCGCTATTCCCAAAAATAATTAAAGGTTATAATAAATATTTATAATTTTCCAAAAAATTCATAAACATAAAA